TGGGGGGCCCAAAGCTGGTTGCAGTACTCCAGCTGTGGCTTCACTAAAACTGAGTAAAGTAGAAGGACGACATCCCTGGTTTTGCTTCAGATGCATGCCAGAACTTGGTTTGCTTTGCCAGCCATGGCATCACATTGGTAGCTCATGTTAATCTTGTGGTCAGTCAAGACCCCAAAGTCTTTTTTGGTCACCGTGCTAGCAAAATTTTCTTGATTTCTAGCCAGAGTATTCATTCCATGTTATGCACAATTTCTTCATAATTACCTGTTTACATCTGTATACTTAGGAGTAATACATTTTTCAAGTATGCATATTTCTATCTCTGAGTGGTTGACAATATTCAGTTTAGTGTAATTGGAGTTTTTGGAACTAAGATGTAGATCCTCAGAATCAAAGTTAATAATCTTACTATTTATGTAGCATAGCCAGCATTTGATTCCAAAGTGCAAAAAGCTGTTACTGTAAAATTAGTGTCAGGTATGGTTTCCTACTTAGTTACTGATTCCTGTTTAAGGAAGTTTTACGCCTCCATGCTTAAACTTAAGATTTTTTTTTGCTTTTTAACTGCAGTGGTATTGAGTTGCATATAATATATATATATATATACTGCTGTCATTGCAAGGACTACTTCTGAAAATGGTCTTTGACTTCAGTTTTTTATAATTCTCTAAATAGGAAATACACTTGATCTGAGCAAAAAGGCCTCATCTTATAATAGCTAAAGAATTTCTGTGTTTCTATTGGATGCACATACTCAGGTTATTCATTTCTTTCACATGCCTTGATGGGTGGCTGCACAGCAAAATTGCCAGTTAGTCCTAATCAAATATTGTAGCTAATTTAATTTAAATGTAGATTTAAAATAGGATTTTTTTTAACCCCAAGTAAAGAACATGCTTTTAACTTTGTCCGTATGTTGTGATAGTAGCACATGAAGGACAGACTAGAGAACAAAAAACTTTGTGATAGAAACTTCCATGACATGCACCCACTTGTGTTAATTTTATTTCCAATAAGTAGCAGTAAGATTTTTTTGTTTTTGTTTTTTGGGGGGTTTTTAGACAAAACTTTTGTCAGAATATGTCAGAATACTGACATACAGATGTATGTTGAAACTGGGGATTGTATTTATAATGCATTCTTGTTCATGTAATTTATCAGAAAGAGAAAGCAGCAAATGATAAGAAGGAGGACAAAAAAGCAGCAACAAAAGGGAAGAAGGGAGCCAAAGGCAAAGATGAAGCTAAGCAAGAGGACACTAAAGAAGAAAACCACTCTGAAAATGGAGATACCAAAACTAATGAGGTACTTAACAACAGTGCATACATGAGGAAGTGGAGTCTTAAACTATTCAATATTTAAAGCCACTGTAGGGACAAATATTCCACCTTACCTTTTTGAGGGCAGCCCAGTTCAGATACTTCTATGAGGGCCAGCTGAAGCAGCCATGCTGAAAGTTGGGGCTTCTGAGGAAGCAGAGGAAGGCCTCCATCTTTCTCTTTCTATGGTGGGTAGTAAAACTCACAGCTGGTTTCATAGCATTCCTCCCTGCATTGGCATACGGAAGGACTAGAAAGTCTAGGTAGCCACAGACCCCCATGACATGCTTCCTGTTTTACCCTGAACTGGGCCTTGTCCACCATCTGTAGGCTGGTGGTTTGCTTCCACAGCCCAGGGAGGGCTGACACCACACACAAGCACACAGTCTGATTCAGATCTTCTTTTTCAGGGCACACATTTTGGTTCATACTAATAAAAAAAAATCCAGCATGCATTGTGCATGCAAACCTAGCCTCATCCCTTGACTGAGCGTCTTCTGTTCCCTGTGTGTTTCTACTCCAGCAGCCATTTACCTAAGAATCGGCCTACACCAGGATTTGCTAGACACTGATTTGTTTCCTGTAGACTTTTCCTAGGAGCTCTCCCAACCTTTTGTAAGAACCACCTGAAACAACTTTGTCACTACCATTCCAGCTGGGTCTGATAATTGAACAGTTGTGTCTAGCCTTGGCCCCACATGTATCCTTGAAGGGGAAATCATATTGTGACAGTGTGCATTTTCTGTCACACTATTTTGGGCCTGTTACATAGGAAGGGGCATGCTTGTATCTGTGAAGGATATATTTTAACATAGTGCTTTGAGTAGAGAAGAAGGAGGAATAGGGGATAGATTTGATAAGAGTTGGGATTTTATTATTGTGGTATGCAGGTTGCAATAAGCAAGTTTTCAGCTCAGAAAGGTCTTGCTTCTGGTGTTAGATTTCTGTGGGTTTTTTGTGGGTGGGAGTTTAATGGTGGGGGGAGGTCTGGGGATGGGAACTCTACGTGACTCAAAGTTTGCTTGTTGAATATTGAATATTGCATTAATGGATGCATCTGCTAGAGCAGTGGTTCCCAAACTGGGTTGTGACCCCAAAGGGGGTCACAATGTCAGCAGATGGAGTTGTGGGGGTTGCGGGCTGGGGGTTGGGAGTGAGGGGCCATGCTGAGGAAATGGGGCCATAAATGGGGTCACACTGAGGAAAAGTTTGGGAAGCACTGTGCTAGAGACTGTAGGCGTTGAGTAACTTTGTAGAAGGCGAGTGGGATCTCTTTGTAGCCACACTTGTTCCAATCATAGGAACATTAGAAAAATGTTGCTAAGATCTGTTTTTTAAAAGATGAAACTATACAGGATTACCATATTTTACGCACAAATAATTCT